CACACACACACACATTCATGAAAACATGTTTGCACACACTGTCCGTTTGCATTAAGTTGTTCAATTTGGAACCTGAACACAAACAGTGTAAAGTAATGTTTTACACTGCACCCCCAGAAGTGATTGCCTGATTATAACCCCCCCCCCCCCAAAAAAAACCCACACTATCAGACTCTTTACTGTTTATCTGAGGTCTGATCTTTTGTATGCACTTTATCTTTGTTATTGGTCTGCAGCTGTTAGAGGGTAACTCAAGAAGCACAGTCAGCAGAACTACACGCGTTTCCACCACATTAAGTGGTTCATTTTTTCTCTGTTTGCATTAATAAAACAAGCGACATTGTTTCACATGTGGCGTGTTTATTTGTGGCCGTGTGTGTGGCCGCTGCCTAAGCTTCCGTTGTTGTAGATTTTAACACAAATCGCCACATGCACACAAAGTTTAGATAATGTGTCAAACATGTTTTCAAAGCGTCCTTTCATTAAATGAAATGACAGTTAAACTCCCAGAACATCCACACCCTTCTGTCCTTTGATAGATAATGACCACAGGACCATATGCAGTAGAATGGTTTTCTTTTTGTCTCTTATATTATTGTCCAGATGCTTGTGTGACCTTGGAGGACACCACACATGGTTTTGCTTATGTTTTTTTTCTGTGTGTGGGTTGACAAAGAAAGATCTCCTTTAGTAACCACATTTGTTCAACTGAAAGTGAGATTTTTGTCTCCAGGCTACAATGGTAGCCCTGGAGGCGCCATTGTGTTTCACAAACTAACATAGATGCAAGACACAGTGACGAGAAGAATAAAGAAAACATAACAAGCGAGTATTAAAACAACAGAAAGTTGTCCTTAATGTACTGCTTCACTCTGTTCTTGTGTGCAACCCTTCTGAACTTGCAAACAGACGAGTCTGTTGCTGTGTGCAAATTAGAGCACTTACGCCACCTTCTAACTATAAACAATTTACACAGAAGTGTCATTAGAACTTAATGTAGTGCGTAAGTTGCTTGCACTCTTGGATGTGTTACAATATATTTCTTAAGATGCACAGGGATTGATAAAACTGGCAAACAACTTTGTTAGTTGAAGCTTTAAAAAAAATATATATTTGAATAAAATTTTTGCAGCAACACGGGGCCGAATGGAAAAACCCCCTCCCACAACAGGAAAAAAGGTCAAAGTAACGATAACAAGATTGAAGGGGGGAAAAACAGATAATTCCACAGCTCACAAAACGGTCTCTCATGTACCGGTAATGATATATAGACGCAAAACTAATTATGACAGTGATTGGGGGAAAAAATTATTAAAAATACACAGATTCCTTCTCCCACTGACAAATCTAGAATTTCGAATATGCAAATATTGTTAGCTTTAAAAGTGTGCCTGCCTGACACAGTTGCGATGTTACAAATCCTGCTGTACGTACATGTCTTATATTTAGCTTTAAGGTGAGAGATACTTCTTCAGCAGATACATTTAAAAACAGGCTTTTTAGTATCAAACTCTGCCCATATATCATGGAGGGGGACCAAAACATCTTTCTGTATTTGACTTTCTCCCTGATATTAATATTGCAGTACGTACATACATCCATGCATATAGACATACAGTATGTATGCACTAAAACAAAAACTAGGTCGGTCTCTTGGGAATGTGAGAACTCTGCTCCACTGACCTTCCTCACATTAATAAACACTGCTATTGTATGGAGACCTAAAACTAAAGTGCCTCAACACTGGAAAGCTCCCACACAGCATGTAGGGCGGAAGTGCTCTGCTGGTCTGCATCTGGCTGTGTGTTTTAAAGACTGGTTAACTGTGGGGGTGGTTTCGAAAAACCATCATGAGAGTGTTGTGTGGTTTGGTATTCATTTTGGTGGGCTCTGGTAGGCGTGCAGCGTTAAAGAAAGCAGGGTGTGTTTGTTGCTGCAGCTTTATGGTACTGTTACACAGACCCACCTGTGTAAGGTAAACCTCTAAGCAACAACTTTCTTGCAGTACATTTCTGCGTTTAAGAGCCATGCGACGTCTTCCGTGTTTAAAAACGTAGCTCGGCTGCATTTTGTTATGCTTGTTTCGCAACTCTTAGTCTTGGCAAACAGCTCTGACTTTTTCTGCCTTCCCATTTTCTGCTCCTTTCCAATTGGCCAGTGGTGTATTTGGCACGCTACCAATGCTGGTTCCTACTTTACTGCACTGGCAAGGCCCTGTGGTCTACGTGAGGGAAGGAGGAGGAGGAGGAGCAGCAGCAGCAGCAGCAGCAGGAGGAGGAGGAGATGACACATGGTCGGCTGTTTACAGATTTTGAAGGCCAAGGGTGTGGTGCTGCTCTTATGGCAACAGGTTAATTCAGGGAGGTGTCCAGCTTTGCTCAAAGGTTCTGCCTTACATTTGTTATTCACGCTCTTAAGCGGACTGAACTCTGCAAAAGTCAAACATTTCAGATCTTTCTCTTTAAGGTTTTAACTTAATTGTTTTTCTTCTGCACCAGAAGTATGATAATTACACTAGCCATTTGGTGCTTTTGCAGCACACAGGCTGCTGCTGCTTTTTTGGATAGTTAGTATCTGTGGCTTGGACCTTTATCTCCCCCCTCCCTTGTGTGTTTTCTACATGTCCTGTAATCTATAGGGCCATAACTCTCATAACTGCCATTTGGGGCCTGTGCAAGTATTCATTACACCCTCAGACATTCCTCCTCCTCCTGCTTTCCTCTCTCTCCTACAGTCCCCGTCATGTGACGAGTCATGGACCCAACCATGCCATATGTAGTCAGGTCCACTGTAACTGCCGCGGACAAATCGCGAGAAGACGGAGGAAAAAAAAAAAAAAAAAA